TTTACTTAACTCATTAATAAGAAATTCAGCTTTTGCTTATCTGTAACATTTTTTACTTCTTTGTGCTTAATATTGGAATTAACTATAAGTCCCTTTTGCAGTTTTTTTTAGATCATGCATTTTATACAGTTATGGTACAATTAAGTAGTTTAGCATTGTGGTTTGTTCAAAATCTCGTTTTGTATCCAAAAATGTACCAGCTCTTACCATTACTCACTTTCACTTGCGGCTTCTGTCTTTTTTGAACAAAGAATCCCATAGCCACATTACTTCATTGGTTGCAGCAGAATAGATTTACTAGACTTCAGGGAAACTAGGTTCAGGAAAAATAGCTTACTGAGTCAGAAAATTTGTATTTAAAAACTTTTTTCACTCTGTGAAAGAAAAAAGAATATGGGTGCTGGAGAGTTGCATCTGTCTACAGCTTTGGGGAACTTCCAGCTGGTGTAGGACCATGATGCTGTCTATCACAGGATACTAGATAATATGTAGAGACACAAGAGATGTTTGTTTATGGTTACATAAATACCTCTGCAGAAAGTTGCAACACTGCTTGGCTGAGTGGTGAAGGAAAAAGAGGACAGAAGATCTGCTCACGTTCCTCTCCAGGGCTTCAGCTCTCAGAGACAAGAGAGCCACTACATGAAGCAGCCACCCTCTGATGCTGCCAGCAGCGCCTGCCCCTGTGCCCACCGCTCTCCCGGCCTCGCACCAAAGCTGTCCATTACATGCCTCCGTGATGACCAAGAGACACCAATCTTGAGGGAACTGTGCTGGCTGCCACCAGCATTCTACCCACTCTGACTGGGTCACTACTGCACTAGAAGTCATGCCAGCAGCTCAGCCCCAGGGCACCCAGTGAAAGAAAGGTACAGAGGTCTCTTTGCCCAAGGACTTAGAGAGCTTCAGCTCCCTGTGAGAGCACTACAGGCTGGGTGGGGGTTGCTGTCTTCTTATGTGTCAGTAGATTATTGGCAACTGTACGGCTCAGTGGCAGAGGAATGAGAAGACAGGAGTGTGTCATGGTTTTGTGGCTTCCCTAACTGCAGTGCAGAGCAGCCACTCCCCATTACCATGGGCAGCCCCTGCCCCCTTATGCTTCCTTTCCTTGTTTCACTGGCAGCTCCCCTGCCAGACTTAGCTGGGACAGCCTTTTCCATGGTAATCCTGCACCTTCACTGTCACCAAATGCTACCACTGATGTTCTGCATACAATGGCACCACCACCACATCTCCAGGGCTGGTGCCAGAAGACAGAGACTGCCTTCTGGGACAGCACCAGAGCAGGCACACTGACTTAGTTCTGCAACACTATGACATGGCTGTTACCTCCCCCATGTCCAGGTAGAAGGAACAATTAAATAATTTATATTTCAAGAAGTGGTAACGCTGGATATGGAAAATAATTAGCTGTAGTGGCATTTTGAAGAGCAGCACATTCAAAAAAGTTTGAAAGAGAATTAAAAGCATCAGATCCAACTCACTGCATGACATCAAATATTTGTGATACCTGATACTAAGACTTTTCTATTTGAAGTCTAAATTCTGGAAGAAAAATGCTTTTTGTTTTGACTAAAGGCAATATTTCACACCCTTGGAATTAAAGACATGTAAAATTACAACTTCTTTGTCAAGAGTGGTTGACACTACTGGTAAGTTTTCAGCTGCAGCATACAGCATATTGATAATTTCTTACTTTTTGCCAGCAGTTTTGGAAATAATTTTCAATTTTATTAGCATTTAGTTTATATACAGCCACAAGAGTGATACACATTAGTATTTAAAAGGTTTGTAATGGGTTTGCTTCCGATTTATCAGCACAATGATGATGTGCTCTCCATCATTTCTGTCAATACTTTTCAAGTAGATTATATGAAAATATGATAGCCAGTTGTCATTCAAGATCAAGGTTTTATTCTTTGTGAATTGAAGAAGGTGATGTGCACTTATTACCCCCTTTTTATAGCAGTACATTAAGGACTAGACATTAATTTAGGTTTTCATTTAATTTAGGTCAAAGTAGTCTTGAGATGCTTCATCACAGGTTCTTTATTTTTAAGTATACGAAAATATTTGAGCTAATTTAATCAAATTTAGGTAAATGTCACATTACTGGGTCATGTCCAGCTTCTCACCCACCAGCACCCCCAAATCCTGCTCCTCAGGGTTGTTCTTGGTCTGTTCATTCCCCAGCCTGTGCTGATACTGAGGGTTGCCCCAACCCAGGTGCAGCACTTTTTTTGAACTTAGTCTTGTTAATCCTTGTGAGGTTCTCATGGACCCATTTCTCGAGCTTCTCCAGGTCCCTCTGGATGCATCCCATTCCTCAGGAGTCACAACTGCACCACACAGCTCAGTGTCATCTGCACTTGGTGTAGGGTGTTCTTGATCCTCCTGTCTCTGTCACTGATGGAGACATTATCCAATTAAAACATTCACAATTCCAACCATCCTCTTACTGATTTAATTAAAATAGTCATTACTTTCTGCAAAGTTACAAATAATTGATTTAATCATAAAATGCAAGGATTAGCTGAATATTCTTATTAATACTGAACTGATCAGATAAATTAATCAGATTGATTCAGATCATAGTATATATTCTGCCAAGTCTGTGGGACAATATTGAAAATTAGCTCATAATTGTATCAGACTAATCAATGAAGAGGATTAAAGGAACCAGTAAACTTATTTGTATATCAAAATAGTATATGCTTTCAGTCTGAAGAGGGATGCTGGCATCCAGGAGAACACATACAGGGGCCACATGGGAAATCTTGCTGGCTCACAGCAATATTTAAAAAAAAAAATTGAGCCACTATTTAGAGGTTCAGAAGGTCATTTAGTTGATTTTGACAGAAAATGAGTTAGAAGAAAGTTTCTCTAGATTCTTGTTTCTCTGCTTAGTCTGCAAGGGAAAAATGCATTCAGTGGTGCTTCAGGCATGCAATGAGGTCGACATTGATGCCATATTTCAAAGACACTCATATATCTGTGTGCTAGAGTTTAGAACTTGGGAACAGTTGGTAGTCAAAGGACAAGCATTGTAATGAAAATTACATTATTAAAATATGGCTTCATCAAGTGAAATCCAGTTTGCAACAAATATGGAACATTTTTCATTTTCATTGTTCTATATTTTAAAAGTGTATCTACTAAACACGTATATGCCTCTCTCCTGTGTTGCTTATGACATTTAGTAGTATAAATAAATTATTAAAAAATGCTACCAGATTAAAATGCTGAAGAATCCTTGTCAGCAGAAAATGGCAGGTTAGTTATACTGCCAGTGCTAAAACCTCAAATACATGACTTCAAACTTAAACAGAAAAAAGGAGATGGTGTTTGACATTTATCAACACAGATCCTACTTCATTTAAGCTGAGTTAAATCATTTTAGGTTCATTTACTGGCTACATGTGGGGGTTGGAAATAAAACCTCAACCATAACTGTAATGAGTGTTGCTTACTCACTTTATATTATAACAATCATTCAACCCCAAATAGCTGCAGTTAACAGTTTGCAGCAGCTTGTACAATGTAAAAGATGAACTAAAGAATATAGGATAGTCAATTTGAAGTAAAAGAAAAATGCCAAGGTGACAGAACATACTTACTTAAGCCTGAATTTTTTGAAGAAACAGAAATTGTGAATATTAAAATTCCAACGTATACAGCTGCATGTCAGATATCTTCTCTATTGAAACTTCAGTTGGCATTACCCTTAGCCACTTAACCAGATCTTTTGAGGAGACTGCTGTTCCTCCACTTCTGTGGTGTGAGGCAAAAGTTTCTTCCACTCATATTAAGTAGTTGAAAAGCCATTGTTAATGTCTTGGCTTGTTTAATTGGTGACATATTGTGTATGTCACCAATTAAAAAGAAGAATTAAGTTCTTACCTTTTAACCTTTTTTACTAGAATAATGAAATATTATCTATAACAGACATTTAATTTATTTGAAAAGGCCTAGAGGTTGAAGCATTTACAGTATTTCACTTTAAATGACAGATTCACATATCCCCAGGCACTGTAGAGCAGTGTTTGGTAGCTTTCCCCAACAGGAACGGTCAGAGTAGCTACAGCTGCTCACCCCTTCACTCCAATTTCCGATGTCCCATTCAGAAAATAACTGGCACCTGTTTTCAGTTTCTAGTGTATGATCATATAAATACCTTGCAATAGTATGTCTTCAGCTTGTTAATTTTTTTCAGGAATTTTAATACCATTTTTTTTAATTACTGAGTATTTTGAAAGCCCTCTTTCACTTGGAAGAAAATAGCTCTCAAAACACTCACCAGACAAAACTTATCACTGTACAATTATGTTGATGTACTCCTGAGCAAATTTCTAGTGCAATGTACTGCATAGGGTGAAGAGGAGCATTTGCTGGTGCAGCTGTTTCTAAGCTAAGCAAAGTTCTGCTCTCAGCATTGGCTTCTAATGAAATGCACATCAAGAGAACTGCATGTCTGGATGTAGGACACAATCTGTGTGCTAAGTGGAAATGCATCACAGAAAATGTCTTGCAACAAAAGATCACATTTCTTAACAATTTTGGATTTATTTCTAAAGGTCTTTAATATTACCCTTGATTTATGCCATTGTCTTCAGTGCCTCTTGCAGAGGCTTTTTCCATATGGAGGCAATTAATCTACTGGAGAGACACACATGATTAAAGAAAAAAAATCCAACTCTTAATCTTAAAAGAAATAATAACATTTTGTCACTTCTAAGAATATTAAAATTCTTTCGTGTATCGGGTAACCAAAACTTGCAGTATTCCTATGAGGTTGCTTAATGTTATTCCTTTTAAAAGAGAAGAGTGAGAAACAAAACTGGTTGAGTGGTTTTGAAAGTTTATGGTTATATAAGGCCCAGAAGCTTTGACCCTTGATTCTCAAAACCCCCTTCTGGACTCTGCATTTATTTGTCATTGTTAATATGTTTCCTTGTAAATAGCAGAGTTGTAGTAGAAACATAAAACACATGACTGTTTTCTGCTTTCAGAAATATTTTATTTTGTTGCTTGGAATTGATTGCATCTGGTGCAGCCACAAAAACAAATGAAAAACATGACAGCCCAATAGTTTCATGGAAGGGAATACTTAAACATAAGAGAGATACAAAATGACTGTCAGGAAGAAAACTGACATCGCTCTATTTTGAAATCATGTCTTTCTGAAGCACATATTTTTAATCCATATAATCACTATTTCAGAGAGCCACTTGGCCTGTAGTAATAGTCTTGAAGAATTCCATTCCTTGCAAAGACTTCAGATTTCTATTGGAGAGAGAAAAGACATATGAGATAACTGTCATAGATTAGACCTTCTCTTCTCAAAAGAAGTAACTAGCTGAATTTTTGGTCTCTCTACTAATGTATCATTGTTTTAAAGATAGGTGCTTTAGTCAGAAAACTGTACCAAACATTATACCTAGCATTTTTCAAATATTAGTATATTAAAATGATATACTCATCTTTTAAACTATATACCTATATGGAAGTATGCAATGTTTATCAGGAAAAAAGTATCCAATGCTTAGATATGTGTAATACATAACACAGAAGAATAGCATAAACTTCCAAAGAAAGAAAAACTTACTGAAAGCCTCCATTAATGTACTTAAATGTATTGATTGCTCCAAAGCACCAAATATAAAATCTTGGTGCCAGGAAGATGGTGTAAAATATTAAAATAGGTATCCATTCAAAAATGAAAAATGTTAAAATCAATATAAAAATTAAACTAGAACAACATCTGGGGAAATACAGCTAGAATTGAAATCTCTGCATTAGTTAAAATGGAGGGAAAATAACACAGTTGCATTTCAACAGCAGTGATCAAATGCAGGTAGAGAAGCTTATATTGATGCCCTTTGCTTTCCAGGTTTTCAATCTATACTAATTTTCTTAAATGCACTGACAAATTTATAGGTTTTAAGATAAGAGGCACCACTTCTACTTTCCTTGATTTAGAAATACTTTTCATTTTTTGTAGTGCTTTTTTGGAAACTTGACGAGAAAATGCACTTTGTATCTTTCATTACAGACACTGTCATGTGTGAACTGGGGATGCACACTGCATAAAGATGTTTCAAAACAACACTTTCTTTTTAGTTACTCAATAATTAGTTGAAATGCATTTTAATTCCAAAAAAACAAATTAGATTTTTTCTGCAAAACTTCTGAAGTTTGTAAAATCATTTGAGGTCCTTTTAATACAATGAAGAGCAAACTGAAGTTTTATACTAAAGCAATGTTAGAGTTCCAGTTTTCATCAGATTATTATGCCTAAATCCAGTATATGTTCTGCATATTTGACTCACTATAAAGAAAAACTCTGAAAACATGCTGCATTTTATAGATATTCTACTTATTAACTGAGGAACTGCACCATTAATCAGTGATTCAACTGTCTCCCACTCCCCCTACTCAACAGGACAGATGAACAAACTACCAAGAAAAAGACCATGGGTTGACATAAGGACCGGGAGATCAGTCACCAATTACCAGCATGGCCAAAATTGAATCAGCTTGCAGAAAATTAATTGAATGTATTGCCAATTAAGGGTAGGGTAACAAGAAATAAAAACAAGACTACAACCACCTTCCCTCAACCTTCCTCTTCTTTGGGGGCTCATCTCCATTCCTTCATTCCTGGCTCCTCTACTCCTACACATGCACACACACACAAAAGCCAAGTAGAGAGTGACAGGGGCTGTGGTCTGCTCATTACAGATTTGTCTCTGCCACTTCTTTCTCATCATGCTCTTTTCTTGCTACAAGAAGAGGTTCCTTCCATGGAGTACAGTCCTTCACAGACTTCTCCAAGGTGGGTCAAAGATTGGTGAAAGGGATATTCCATACCATAGAACATCATGCCCAGTACACCAGCTGGGTGAAGTTGGCTGGAGTCATTCAATCCCTATTTCATATTTGAGTCATTCAATCCTTATTTTACATTTCAGATCAGTAGAAGAAAAGTTACATTTATTTGTAGCTTGTGCAGTGTAAGATGGTGAGGGTTGTCAGGAACCCACAGCTATGATCTTAGCAAAGAAAAGTTCAAATTGAACACTATTTAACAAAGGTAATGTCAAATTGAAAGGATGGGCCTCTTTTTTTTTCTTTACAAAGATGTAATTTTGTTCTGTGGTGATTTTGTAATGTAAGCTGGTGATGAAGACTGTCATTTATTCAGCTTGCCCCCTAGTAGAACTTCCTATATCCTTATATACTTATCCTATATACTCCTATATACTTATCAAAGGTATATTATGGATATTATACTGTACATCTTAAAATAGCCTATAGAAAATAAAATATTAAATACTTACAACTCATGTTATATTATATGGCAAAAATACCCCTACCAATTTCCTTAGAATATCATTGCTTTACAAATATGAAAAATTTTAAAAATCCATTTTGGGTTCTGAAAATAATGAACTTGTGGAATTTTTTTTTTTCATAAAATGAATGCTTTCAGGCAAGTTTGTTATCATACTTTAGACAGATCTACAGAGATAATGTGTTTCTTAGTGTTATAATTGAGTGTAGATGGATATACTAACAGGTTAGCTTTCTTTACAAATTTAATAGCTTCTTTAATTCTAGAGTTTATTTCTCCTAGAAGCAGAGAGACCTACCTGGCATGCATCTTACTTAGGAATGCCTCTTACCTATCTCCTTAGTTCATTCTCTGAAGGTTTGGCTCAGTGATTGAGGTTCAACTAATTCTGTCCCAAAGTTAGTTCTCAGTGTACAGCATTTCAGGTCCCACATCAGACTTCTCAGCTCCATAGAGGACCGTAGCTTGAAACACTGAGCAAAATGGAGGCTTAACACATTTCCTTTAGCAGTATCATTCTCATTGGTCATATAAAACCAGGAACTTTAACTAACACATTGGAAAATGTTTCCAGACATTGTGTGTAGATGTTGGTAGAAGAAATATGTTAATAATTTCCAAAGTATTGCCTCAACATCAGGGGAAACAATATATTTTGAAGTTTCCCTTACCTTCATCAAATCCCCTGAAAAAAAACCCCAACAACCTGAGCTAAGAATATGGGACAGGGTATTTATTTCCATGGGATACCCTGGGAGAACAGGCATGTGAATCTAAGTGATCCACAGCTGAGATACCCATCTATCCACTATTCACTGTTTTTCTAATTCTCTGTGTGTAAGTTAAGGACAATTACTGTAAATGGAACAACTCCAGCGGGAAAGAGTAAGAGATCTATGCTAGATCTATCCTAGAGATCTGTCTTTCTCTATGAGAAAGGCACATACAAATCAAACAAAAAAACCTGACACTTTTTTGTATTTCCTGACATAGTGGGAAACTGAAAGGTAAAACAACTCCAATGGGTAAAGTGTCACTGAATCAGATAACTTCTTATCTGAGAAGATGTGTATACATTTTGGACTGCTTCATCCATGGAGCAGTTATGGGAGTTATGGGTGAGATCCAGCTCCCAGCAATGCTTCAGTGGCCCCCACGAGTCTGGCTTGAGACAGGAAAAGAAAGGTCACTGCAGATGGATGTTGATGAGTGGCCAGTCACAAGACAGGCAGTGGGATGGTCACCACTGAAGCAACTGTGAAGAAGAAATGGCAAGAGAAGGGCCTGAGGGCAAAATCAGGACTGCTGTATGATTGCTTTTGTAAATGAATGTGGTGAAGCATGGGAACTTTGGAACAAATCTAAGGCTAACCCCTAAAAGAACCCTTTTTCTTTTCAACTTTCCTGATTTCTTAAAAAATGAATGACTTATTACACATATCAGGATAAGACCTACAAAGTCTCAATTGCTTCCTGTTACCATGGCTATTACAAACAGTGGATGTTTACTCCCCTATCATGAGCAGCATTAAAATTTTCCATATTCTCATGGCATTTATTTTATATTACACGAACAATGTGAGAATGCATTTTTCTGCAAAAGAACAGCATGGATGCTTAGGCTGACAGAAAACCTTTCGTACACTGGCCAATTTCATGATACTGTGAATGCAACTTAGAAGTTTCGGATACTGCAGAAAGGGCTGTTCAAACTTTTTTTGCTCACCATGTTTGTGATTTCTAGTGGGATGAACAACCCACAGAGTGTTAGGCCAGCAACTTAATTGGATCAGTTGGAACTCGCCCCAAATTTTATATTCCCTAATTATAAGACAGATTAGAATTGGTGCTTCAGATTGATGAGAGAGAATGTTTTGGCTCACTTAGCTTTTGGGGGAAATGAGGAGGTAGAACATGCATGTAAATTTGGAGGCTTGCATTTTCTTGTTACTACGTAAGCTATAACTGCTTTCACATTTTTACATCAGTCTTTGAGAATAAGAATTTCATCGGCTTTCTTCATGCAAGGTGATATTTTGCACATTTTTGGGTTTGTGCCTTGCTATGTTGTCCTTGATTTTTTAAATTCATTGTTATTCTAAGACCAAACAACATGTTTCAAACCTATCATTTCCAAAGAGGTGACATAAAATTATGAGGTTAAATAAACTTGATGCATTATGTGCCATTCTAGTTTTTTATTAAGAAGAAATACGGGATTGAATTAATATCTCAGTCTCTTTAGACATATGTTCAAGAATCTGCATTTCTGGAGAAGGAAAGATAGACACGTCAGTACTCTACAGTCATTTGCTAGGATCCCAAAAATGCCATTCTTTTGCAAATGCCATGAACTCTGCTTGGCCAGATGGAATAGAGACTCATCTTTTTATTTTTAGTTTGTGTCTCATGAAATGTTTCTGTCTGATGTTTGTGTCCGATGAAATAAAAATGAATTGTGAGGGATTTTTTTAATTAACTGTGAGATTTAAAAAATAGTGGTAGGCATATGGGAAGTCATTGGCTTTGCTTGATACAAGCTTACTGACTGCACCATTTAAGAGCACTGCATGGTTTTGTGAATAGCCTCTCTCCATTTTTCTTGCAGGCTCCTTTCAGGTACCAAAAGGCCACAATTATGTCACTCTGAAGCCTTCTCTTTTCCAGGCTAAACAATCCCGATTTTCTCAGCCTTTCCTTACAGGAGAGGTGCTCCATCTCTAATCAATCATCTTGGTGGACTCCTCTGGGCCCCCTCCTCTGGACTCACTCCAAAAGTTCCATGTCCTCCCTGTGCTGGGACCCCAGAGCTGATGCAGGGTTCCAGGTGGGCTCTCAGCAGAGCAGAGCAGAGGGGCAGAATCCCCTCCCTCCCCTGCTGCCCACGCTGCTTTGGATGCAGCCCAGGACACGTTTGGCTTTCTGGGCTGGGAGTGCCCATGGCTTGGTCATGTCCAGCCTCTCACCCACCAGCACCCCCAAGTCCTTCTGGGCAGGGCTGTTCTCCATCTGCTCATCCCCAGACTGTGTTGACCACATGACATTACCATGTACTTCCTGCCTTATTTTCTTTTTTTTTTTTTTTTTTTTTTTCCCAACCTGCCAGGAGATCAAAATTATATTAGCATCACACCTCAGGCACTCAAGACACAACTCAACTGTGGTGGCAGAAAGTATTTCTATGTCTCATGGTCTTAATTATGATGAAAGTGATTGCTGATGTTTATGATTTCAGCCAAGTAAAAGAGCATCCTAAACATCTCTGATTATGAAACATACCTCACAATTCAAAATAATATATATATGAGTTTCAAAGTCTGTGCAGTTTCAGGGAAAATTATGATTATAAAGTGGAAAGCTCTGTTTGCACATGCAGCATTGCATTAGACAAAAAATATGATTAAACATCAGACTTACAAACCTTCATATATATGCTATATAAACCTGAATTACTCAGTGGATTTCTTATTGCTTCCCCTGAGATCAGTATAACATAAAACTTAAGGACCTACATCTAACACACCATCTTTCTGCTCATATACTTTACTTAACAATATATTTATGCCCCTAAGAAAATAACTTAGCTTGAAATGTAGTGGGCACTCGCAGGCTACATTAGTCAGCTGGAAATATTTTTTGTTATCATGAGGTATAAAAAGATGAGTTACACAGCTGGATAAGTTTAGGCATATTTTTTGGTCTTGGCAAAATACGGGATTATATTGCATATTGCTTTCTTAAGGCTGCTGAAGTAATGAATGACAATACCTTTTGGGTCTTTTAAGATCCTTTCCATACTGTTACACAGAGTTCTCATTCTCCAGTACAATTAATAACTCCTGCAGAGGGTATGAGTTATAATCAATTATCCTGATGTTACTATGACTTCCAGTTTAAAATTCCACACTGTATGTCACAATCTTTCAATTAGACCCCTGCTAAAACCACTAGTTCAGCACATGTTAGTAAATTAGTGATGAATTTTTTTTTAAGATTATCACAGTTGGGAATCAAGAATTATTCAAAGGTTTGAAGTAAAGTGAGCTCATGAGTGAAGGATTTACCAACAAATTTCAGCTTCAAGTTGAAATTCAAGCACTGAGGAGACTGTATATTTCTATACAATTCTATACTTTATCAAAGCTGTCCCTGGAAAAAGTAACTTTTTTAATGTTTGAGTACCAGGAAACAATGTATTCTTATTTTTAGACTGAGACATGGTACTGCAAGATGCACAATTAAGAAGCACTTCTTTGGAAACAAGTAGAATACAACTCGATTATTAAAATGTTTTTCTTTGAAAACTCAGTTAACTGGCTTGAGCAGTTTATATTCCAGACAATAAGATGAAGCATATTGAAGACAAAACAGCAATTTCTTTGAGAAAACTTTTGCACTGGTGCATAAGACCTAAAATAAGGAAAATAATCTTCTGCAAGTATTTATTCAAGGAACAGAAAATACTCCATTTTCCTAAAAAAAAAAAAAGGATGTTGAAGTCAGAACTCTGAAATAAGAAATTTTCAGTGCTGCTGCAAATGTAAATCTGTGTTGCCTCCGTAAGTATGTTTATACACATTATTTTGGAATGCTGCAATTATTTTTATTCTCATAGAATAAGAAAATATTTTTAATATTAGCATTCTGCAATGCACATTTTAGCAAAAGAAATATGTTAGTGTCAAATGTGCAGCTAGTGTAACAACCATTAAAAGTGACAGTACAACAAAACACAAAATGACAAATTAAAGGTTACTGTGTATGGTGTTTCTTTATTCATTCCTGAAACAGCATCATTGTTAGTTTACTTTCAGAGAGAAACTTTTATATAATTTAAAATTAAAATTAAATTCTGTCAAACATATCAAAAATATGCAAAATTTAATGCTTCTAACCTTGCAATTCAGTTCATGAAATGCTGGAAAAACTATCTTTTATCACTTACTGCCATGGGAAAATGCTTGAAGAGCAAGACTCTTCAAGCTCTAGAGTAAATTTGGCATAACATGGAAATTTTTAATTTTTGTTAGTGTCTTTTCAAAGCCACATCGTGAAATTTTGAGTTTTTGCTTGAGTCTCTTGGTGTGCTGATAGCTGTAGGAACATATATTATAACAGTGTTTAAACATAAGTCTTTTAAGCTTTGTTTATTGGAATTTGGGAATTTAAAAGTAATGTTATTTTCTCATTTTTCTACTATGGGCAGTATTTGGATATTAGTATAGGTAAGTGTTTTCCATTAGTGGTTAAACTCTTTGCAAATTCTGTCCTTGACACAATCTGTGAGCCCATGCTAGGAACTCGGCTTGTCCAGAACAGGGTGTAGTAAAAAGGTGAATAATTGCCAGGGAGTGATGGCCAGCCATAAGAAATGGGAATAACAGACTGATTGCCAGTAATGAAAGGCAGGTCCTTGGCTGACAAATGCTTGCTATCAATCACTATGGTTTTTTTGCATGTTCCTACCTCAGAGAAGCTGAACTTCTGGACACCTCACAGGGACATAAACTGCTCCTTCTGCTGCTTTCTGTCTTCTACCCCCTTAGACTTCAAACTTGCTTGAAGGTCTTGAACTGTCATTTGGAGATTGTAACTCTACAGAAACAAGTTAAGTGTCATTGTGATTATTAAATCTGCAGTGAACTATACACTAAGTTTTAAAACATTTACACACACACACAAACACACATATATACACACATAAATATTTCAGGCAGATCCAGTAGTATTAAATCAATTATCACTTCTCACTATAACATGTCTTACAACTCTGACAAGAAAAAACTTTGTAACTTCAGTTTTACTAGTCTTATGTCTCTCCACTGATGCAGGCTATTTTGTTTTGTCCAAGGTTCAAAATTCTGCAACCTTCTGGCAAACATTCTTCTTGGAAAGCTTAGGTTTGGAATATAACTGGAAATTTTGCAACAAGTCCTGCCCTTGGGTGACAACAACGCCATGAAAAACTCCAGACTTGGAAAGGTGTCTGGTGGGAAAGAACATGCAAGTCCTGGTTGACAGTGGCTGAACGTGAGCCAGCTGTGCCAAGAAAGCCAGTGGCATCCTGGCCTGTCTCAGCAGTAGTGTGGCCAGCAGGAGCAGGGTCACGATTGTCCCCCTGCACGGGCACTGGTGAGGCTGCACCAAAGAGCTGCTGCGGTTTAAATCCTGCCTGCAGTTCAAGAAGGACATCAAGGTGCTGGAGAGCGTCCAGAGAAGGGAAATGGGAGATGGTGAAAGGTCTGGAGCACAAGTCATATGAGGAGCAGCTGAGGGAGGTGAGGATTTTTAGTCTGGAGAAAAGGAGGCTCAGGGGTGACTTTATTGTTCCCTACAGCTGCCTGAAAGGACATTGTAGCCAGGTGTGGGTAGGCCCCCAGACCCAGGTGACATGACCACATGCGGAAATATCTTCAAGATATTCCAGGGGAGGTTTTGACTGGATAAAAGGAAATTTTTCATTGCCATAAGGCTTGTAAAACATTGGAACAGGCTTACCAGAGAAATAGTTGAGTCATCCCTAGACGTATTCAAATGATGTAGATGTGGCACTTAGGTACATGGTTTATGGGTGGATTTGGCATGGTTAGGTTTACAATTAGTCTCAATGATCTTAAGGGTCTTTTCAGCATAAATAATTCTGTGAATTAAGGTTTATCTAATTTACATGTGTTCTTAGTCTCCCCCTTCCCAGCATTTTGAGTCATGAAGGAGAAAGGACCTCAGGGTAAATCTATTTCTGCTGGCTCATTGTTTACTTGACACTGAAAGCCACAGGAGCAGCTTTCTTTAGGACTTGTCCGAACAGGCTGGCAAAATGTCACAGCATTACTGTACTAGTTTCAGCATGAAGGTCTGTTCAGACAATTTTCTTGTTACCTCAGTAATGTTATGGCTTTGTACAATGGTATTTCTGGTTTCCCTTTTTTTTTTTTTTCCTTCACCATGAGATATGTAATGTTTATATTATGCACTGAAATAAACAAAGACCTTGAGAAGAAAAAAATAGGCAAACATGAAGTTACAAACTACATCAAAGTATGTGCTCAAGAGTGATAAATTAATCCTATTTATTTTCTGACTTTTCAGCTAGGGCAGCATGTGAACATATTTATGTTCACCTCAATTTCTGAAGGCAGTAATAGGCAGATTTACAATGGTTTGAGGGTCTGGGTGTGGGGATGTTAACAATTTTCTTAAAACTTTTTCCTTTATGTAATTTCTCCAAAGACTGCAAATCAAAATCAAACATATTGAACAATCTATGAGCTGCTTTCAGCCCAAATAAATTTTATTTTGCTTTTCCTTTCTTTACAATATGTTTGCTTGCAGGAAACTAGCAGGATCACATGAGTTGAAATAGAATTTCAGACTTTCACTTCTGCTTTCCCTTCTCATGTTAGCAATGACCACAGTGTGTTTTATAACACAGTTAAGGGGAATATATTTGAGGTTTTCTGCTCTTTTCTCAGCAGACAAAAAAAACCCACTTTTGTTAACAGTTTTGTTGCAGGAGCAAAAACTGTGTGGAAATACTGACTGACCAATTTTCTCGTTCAAACTCACATTTTCTCGTCATATGTTGAAGATTCTGCTAAGGCCTTTTGGTGTAATAATGTATGACACAGCCACGTATGTACATGCAACAAAGCTGTCAGGGGTGGGGGCTGGTTGTGTTTATTGGGGTCTAGTTTGCAAATTGAACAATTGCGAGCAATTCAGCGTTTAATAAATGCAACTGTCATCCTTAAGAAAAACATTTAGGCTGAAGCAGCTCACAAGCAAGCTGCTGCTGCCCCCCGGTGCCCATCAGACACTGAGCCGGTCTGCAGCCACGGGCGGGGATGCGAGATGTAATTCGGTAGTGAGATAACTCCAGTATCTGGTCTCATCCTTATCTCCACATCACAAAAGCCAGCAGGGCCTTCTCACTCGGTTAACTCTCTAGAATGAATAGTCATTAGTTAACCCGGTCCCTCAATTCCTTTAAAATGTCATCTGAGTGGATTACCTCTGCCAGTCTTCACAATTAAAAAGATATAGCAACGAAAAAAGTGTCTTCAAATAGAGCTGGGATACAAAATCTCAGTTTTTGTAATGACCCTTAAAGGGTTACTTTGTTTCATTGTTTAGATTATTCTGGGCAAACAACTTGCTTACACAGATGCTAAAATTATGACTCATTTTTAGTTCCTTATAATCCATTATTAAGCTTATTTCTTTATATGTAAATTCTGAAAAGATAATTCAGAATTAAAAAGTGCTAAACATCTGGGGAAGATATGTTGAGTTTCATATATGTAATTGAACTTCAGCTTTATAAAAAACTCTGAACACAACTGAGGCTTTACCAGTGTCTTTGTAATGGATTATGCCCTAAAGAACAAATTTGTTTCTGCATAGCACCCAACAAGGAAAGGCAATTGTTTAGAGATCTTATAGGACTTCTAGGAATATTAAAATGCATATTCATCCAACACTGATTCAGTAGGGCATGGCTTAAAACATGATTGCTAAAATCTGCAAATTCAAAGTTCTTATATCTTATTAGAAACAAAAATATAGAAATAAAAATACAAATATAAAAAAATAAATAGTTTGACTTTAAAAATCCTAAAATTTATCACAGAAATAAAATTTTCTCTGAGGTGCATAATAAGCTAATCCATCTAGGCAAGTTTTTAAAAGGTTTCGACAGTTTGGAAAATACTACAGACAACTATCAGTGTAGTATTTTCTTACTAAAAAAAAATGTTTAAATGTTTCCTAGCACTGTAAGTTTAATTCATTATGCTATGGTCATCACAATCATAAAATAAGAAAATGAGGGTACAGGTGAATAAAAGTCCTTTTCTTTGTCTCATGCAATAATCTATGACAAGAATTATACTTTAGAAATACTCATATTAAGAAATATGACATTAAGATGTCTTTACTGTTTAATGGGAAGCTCCAGACTCCTTGAAAAATAAAGTTCATTGGAATTCCTTGAGATTGGAAAAGCAAACACCTTTAGTGTTCCAAAAAACATTTTGGTTGAGGATATTTTTTAATTGAGTGTTTTCTAGTATAAGTAAAATGAAATTATGTAAAGTGCACAAAGGTGTTATGAAGTGTAGATACCTTTATTTCCTTGTATTTTTGCTTAGAGAATCAAGGGAGTTTAGTCATGAATTTATTTTCATAACCATCTGTCATTCTCTGTCCTTTGCTTCTGTTTTAAGTTAAATTGCTTGTAAGAGTTGACAGAATCATAAGTACAAGAAATTGTAGAAAGATGCAGCACTGTTAATAGTATACTAAGATTTTTCTTACCCATCTATTACATTTCAGCTTAATTTGCTATCTAATGAACAAGCATGAACATGTTTACACTATCATGGTTAATAGAAGAAGCAAACATGATTGTTAAAATCAGGAATAATTACATTTTATAAATTGTAGATAATAGCTTTAGGTCATATTTACATCTGTCAGCAACAGAACAGTCCTTGCAGTTCCCGCTTACACCATGATAGAATTTATATACTTTGCACTTGCATTACTGAAGGAATTTGAATTCATATGGAATGCAAAATTTAAGGACACTGTGACTAGAGTTGTTCATGACCATGATTCCAGCTGTCTAAGCAAAACACTAATCAGCTATCTGTTTTCTGCAGTTTTTCAGAGTTGTAATTGTTGTGGAAAAATATTTCTCATGCCTCCACCTTTACTGTAAAAAGTTTTCCAGCAAAAATCACAAGGTCTAGGTTATGAAAGAACAGGTTGTCCTATGGAGTGCATTCTGACCTTGGCTGCAGATTTACATTTCCATTATGAACTACTACTCACTACAAATAAAACACAGCTGGTATGTAGATTTAAATCCTCTCACCTTGATTAAACAGACTTTGAAGAAAGGAGCTATGCAGGTGAACAGCATCCTACTCCAAAAGTGCAGTGAATGTACACCAGAGCTTTTCCAGGGCTGTTGCTGTTGTATCAGGATCAGGCAAGTGTGACAGCTGGATGCACACATTTACTTACTGTACACTCACTAGAGAGTGAGTTAGTGAACCTGCTGTGCTACAGACTGAAATATTGAGGGATAAGCATTGTCTTTTCATTCTGTGCTTATGTGTTATCCAGCATAAAAAAAGATCTTAAGTGATAACCCACAATACGGAGGGGAAGTAATCATTATGGTAGTACCATAATGGATTCTCCCAATTCCATTATGGAGGCAAAAACACACACTTCTGACTAATAGATTTGTTATAAAAACAGATACAGTACAGACCTTCAGGTAATTTAATAAATTTTGCTGGAAAATTAGAACCTTAGGTTATTAATAAAAGGTCCTGCACGGTGCTATTATGTTCTTACTCCAGACTTGAAAAGTTCTTTTGAAGTCTTACACATGTTAAATAGATGTTCAAGTAGATGAGTGGTCTGCCTATTTTATAAAATGTGTTTTCTTGTGGGTTTTTTAATGTTATGTGGATGTGAAATGGATTTCATTCAACTGAAGATGATTCAAAGGAGTATGCCTTCATACACATACTTCATACAAAGGAGTAAGCTTTCATGTGTGATTTAAGGAGGAATCACATGATCTCTTTTAATCCCAAACAAAGTCTGAATCACAATACTTTTCACCCTCAAAACAATCATTTTGTATATCTGGAGATTTATTCTTCACAGATGCAGAAATGTGGATTAAGGAAACTCCATGGTAAGAAGAATCAATACCTCAGTGATAATTGAACAAACTAGAAATATGAAAAAAAATATTCAGAACCTCTTAAGAAAAGGGAAAGAACTCCTACTGACAACAGTATAAACAGAATATATTTTCTGCTGCATTATTTTCAAATGCTAATCTAATCTATTTTCAAGTATCCTAATGCTACTCTGATTTCCTTGAATGTAATAATGATGTTAATTAACTCTACAAATATTCTTGGATTCAGCACTTATTTCATTCTTTTCAGGTCGTGCTTTTACTACCCTGTGACATATTTTGTTTGGGGTGAAAGATGGACGAAGGACATACTCTACTGATGTGTATGCATTGAATTTGGGTACTTTTCAATTTCACCAAATTATTCCCTTCATAAGACGTTTAGTGTCCTTACATTTTTGTTAGGTTAACAAAAAAGTTTCTTGACAACTCCTAATTATAAAATCATTAAGGCTGGAAAAGACCTCCCAGATCATCCTTTGAGTTCAACTTTTGACCAAACACCTCATCAGCTAAACCACAGCACTAAGTGCCATGTTCAACAGCTGGGCCCAACCCCCTCCTTGTCCTGTAAGTGCTGCCCGATGTCCCTCAAGATAATCTGGTACCTAAATCTCCCCAGCACTGAGGTCATGCTGACAATTCTGTATTCCCTGGATCCAACCCTTCCTGCAGATGGGATCACACTGACCAGCCTCCAGCTGCCTGGGGCCTCCCTGGTTACCCAGGACTGAAGATAAATGGTGGTGAGTGGCTTGGTGAGCTCTTCCTGCCCTCCCTCAGTACCTGGGAGAATCCCACCCAGTGCCATGCACTTGTGAGTGTCCAAGGGGCACAGGAGGTCATGAACTGCTTCTCCTGGACTGCATGGGGTCTGTTCTGTTCTCCATCCCTGTCTGCCAGCTCAGGGGCTGGCTGCCCTGAGCCTAACTGGGCTTTCTGGTAATAACTGAGGCACAGATGGCATCAAGCAATCCGGCCTTTTCCTCATCCTTGGTGACAATTTTCCTGCTCTTCATCCAATAAATTATTGAGATTTCCCTTGGCTGTCCTTTTGTTGTTAATATATTTATAAAGATACTTTTAATTATCTTTCACAGCACTGGTCAGATTGAGTTCTAGCTGAGCTTTTGCCTTACTAATATTCTCTCTATAGACCTATTGACACCCTTGCACTCTTCTTGAGTTGCCTGCCCCTTTTTCCAAAGGTGGCAAACTCTCCTTTTTATCTGAGTTCCAGCAAAAACTTCTTGTTTAGTCAGGCTGTGTTTTAGGAAATAGGGATACCCTGCTCTTGCATCTTTAAGATATTCTTAATTATGTCCAGCCTTCCTGGACCCCTTTGTTATTAAGGGCTATTTTGCAAGTGACTGTCTGAATCGGTGTCCTGACCACAACCAAGTCTGCTCCTAGTATACTCAAGGCAGAGCTTTTACTCACCCTCTTTCTTACTTTACCAAGAACAAAGAAACTCTGTCATTCCATGGTCAGTGTGCCCAAGGATGGTCTCTGACCACCACACGTCCCACAGCCCTTCTCTGTTTGTGAGCAGCAGCTCTGCAGGGCAGGTTCCCCTCCCAGCTGTGTCTGGAATTTACCTTCCACACACTGCAGGAACCTCCTGGCCTGTCTCCTCTCCACTGCTGATTTTCCAGCAGACATTGGGCAAGTTAAAGTCTCCCACAAGAACAAGGGCTGGTGATCATGAGACACCCACTGACAGAATATTTCCCTTCATCCTGCCTGGGGGTCTGGGACAGGCTCCCAGCAGGATCTCTGCCTTGTTGGCCATCCCTCTGCCTGTCACCCACGGGCTCTCAGCCTTGTGCCCACTGTCCCTGAGCTCTGTACAGCCCAAACCCTGCCCAGTGCACAGAGCCACCCACAGCCCCTCCTTCCTCACCTGTCCCTTCTGAGAGCCTGTAGGCACCACTGCAGCACTCCAGTCATCCCAGCACATCCCATGGTGAGAACTGCCCCACAGCTTCCTGCTGCCAATGGCTCCCATTGTTTGTCACCTGTGCAGGGTGCATTGCTGCAGACGCACTTCAGCTGGGCTGTGCATGCCACCCACAACACTGGCGTGCCACCCCAGGCTCATCTCTAGTGAGCCTGGTCTTGTCTCTTTCCCTTTCAAACCTGGCTTAAAGGCATCTCAATCAACCCTGTTAACTCAACAACCCCAGAGATGCAGAAGAGTTTTGCAAGCAACACTGATCCTGCAGTGTGCTATGCTCCCATGAAATACTTGTCTTTTGAGGATTATTACTGGAATAGTTTTTTCCCCCACTTTTCCTGCAAGTGGTTCATCTGGTTTCAAGTCATTCATCTAGAAATTAGTAATTTTTTTTTGCTGAGATGTTTACATTTTTACAGTGAAACAAGCTTGCTCTGGCAAAAAAAAAAAAAAAGGTCTGTTTCCCTATTGGGTGTCTGTCAAAGGGTCACAGCAGAATCTCAATGTGTTCTTTGCAGCTCAGACAGACTATCTTAATCTTTCTCAGAAGGCAGGAGTCTAAGAAAGAAGTAGAGGAAGATCATTCTCTATTTTTCAACTATCCCTAGACTGGACACAGTACTGTTTCTTATTGATGGTTATCTTTTTCTTGATAGCTGCATTTCAAAGAATTGAGATTTGCTGGGGAAGAGGAAGAATTTTAAACACAGTTTTCAGACAGGGAAGGAAGTAATGGAAATTACATACTTATTCTAAGCCATTTTCCCTCAGGTGATGTGGCAGCACTGCAGAGTCAAAGGAGAAAAGCCCATTGCAAAGACACATCATTACATTTACAGTACACCATGACAAGGTAACGGCTGATTTCATCTCTCTGTTCAAAATTATTTTCCTTTCGGCATGTAAAAGAATACATTAGGAGTGCATTTTCAGAGTGCTAACCTAGACAACATCCATGAGGGTGTCTGTACAGCCTGCATTCTCTGGCTTGCTGAACAGCAGTGTATTCAAGCAGCCTGAGCAGGGAAGCAAAAGACACCATGTCCTGCACTCTGATCCTGACTCTGACATCCCTGAGCTATACTGCAGCCCTAGGTACAACTCTTGGACCTAGATTTCCAAAAGAGGTCTCCAAACTTTGCCATTTATAGAACTTCAAGAGAATGATGATGGAGCAGCATTACTTTTTACTGGCTCTTTGACTTTTAAAAATGATCAATCAAGTCAGCCGTGGTCCGCATAAACAAATAACCAGCAGTTGGAAATCTTATCCATGTCTTTAGGCAGAATTCTCTCTATTTTAATTAGAATTATCTGTATTTTTAAGATCTGAGTCTTTAAGCAGAATTCACTGTCTCCCTTCTTTTGATCTCTGTTGCAGAGGGAACCAGATGATATCATTCTCACCTTTAACTTCCCTGTTGAATGTAAAAAGATGCTATCAGGTGCATTAAGCAGATGTTGCTCAATGTTTATGGAAAGCTTTCTTATTTTACGACCTGTTTTGCTATTGTCTTAGGAGATGTGGTGCTGAGTTACAGATCACATCTTCTTTGGCACTCAACTTGGAGCTCTGTGCATACTGAAATGAATGTTTCTCAAAACTGAGTAGGGGAACCTCCCCAAACCAGAGACCACAGCAGACCCCTGAAGAGGCTCACCAGGCACAGTGACTCATATTTTATAAAGTGGCCCAAGCTGAACAATTATGCAATATGTAGGTGTAACTATGTACTAGATAGGTGAGTTTATGTAGATTTCAATGCATAAATTCTCTTGCTTTTTATCCCTTGACATGCGTGCTCTGTGAAAAATATCCACCATTCACTCTGCACGGAATTAGAAATATTTCCTTTCTAAGACTCTTTGTATTTAGGGAGTCCCTAAAATCAGTAACATTATAGGACATCCAGAAGACATAACAGAAGAACTTAAGACTGTTCTCATCCATATAGTGGGACATGTCCAGCACTAAGGTGAGGGGCCTAAGCAACACAGCATGGATATTTCTTGGATTTCACTACTTTTCAGGGCTGTATAAGTGAGAGATTGATTTCCAAGAGTGCACTGTTGCAAGAACTAAATTCACATCAGAAGAAAAGAAGCCATACTTTGCTCATTTGTTTGCTTTGTGATTTCTTCTTTTGCCACACCTCCAATCACCCTGCAGAGGTGTTTCTGAGCATGCTGACTGGCAGGTGTGTTACTCTGAAAATACAGACATGCCCTTGTCATCAGGTAATCCATGTGCCAAAATGGAATACTATTTTTAGCTGCAGTTCCAAATGCTCCTCACTTCCCAAGAGCTAGAGGTTTCTTCTCCTTTCACTACACCATGAGAAATATGGGAAACATCTAGGATGTCTAAGGACGTTCTGAAATTGACTTTGGATATTAAATTGTTCCCAATGACATCCATAGTAAATGAGATCTACTTAAAGAATTCATACTAGATTTCAATATTTACCTTGTGTCCATAATAAGAGGTAGTAACTGATGAGTTCCTTCATTGTTTCAACCACTTCTAAATTTTTTTCCTGCATAAGAGAAAGGTAAATTTTTATGATACTACAAGAACTGTTTTCTATTAGACTTTGCATAAGATGCTGATCTGTATATGGGGACATGCCTATTTTATATCTTGTCTATTTGGAGGACTATATAGGTCCAAATATTCAATTAAGTACCAGGGAGTTATATAAGAAATCTGAATCTAGACGAATAAAATTACAATAATAGATTAGTCAGAAAGCATGTTTTTTAATTACTAGATAGAATGGTACCCCTCAGAAATATCCTAGATAAACATCCACTCAGTCAAGAAAACAAGGTTGTACTCCTCTCTGCATCTGCTTGGAACTATATCAAAGAACATCCAAACAGCACTAGCAATCTGTGATCCCTCATTTAGGAGTTAGTTTCAAATCTGAGAGATAACAATAAACACACTTTTGATTTAGTGGCATTATCACCACTTCTGAAATTCTGCTGTCAGGTTCCAAATATTCCATCTTTTACATCTGCAGACAGACACTGAGCACTTGGAAGGATCTGCAATGCATAGGCTGTGTTTGATCTTCTCTCCAGATCCCAGCAATGTCTATTTTTGTCTATCCAGTGGAAGAGATTTTTAATAATGGTATTCAAGAGTATATTATCTTTTCCACTCATCTCTGGTGCTGTTTTCAGATTACAAAAATATTTTACCAGGGCACTTCTAGAGATTTTTCCAGTACTTAATTGTAAGAGGTCTTTTTCTGTACTATTTTAATTGCTCTGCTTTTCTTGATGCCTTTTACTACCCAGAGAATGCAAAATCTGGCGTAGGTGCTTTCTTCTCCACAATGCTACCTGTGAACTCTGATCATTTTTTCTTAGCTGTTTGGCTGACACTTTCCTTGGAACTGGCATCCATTTTGGTACTAAGTTGTTACTTTAGTGTTTCACTGCTCTGAACAGACCAAGTACTGAAGGTGCCCCTTCATATATAAAACTACTTTTAGCCTTCAAGTTGAGTACAGGAATAGTGTATGACCAAATTGGACATGAGGTAGAAAGACTGGAGACACCTTCCACACCTCCATTTACACTTCCTGGACAGGATATATGCTGTATCAGTTTTAAGAACTCCTCTCTCTGTTCTAAGGCTGTAGCATAAGCAGGCCTTGGATAATTTTTATATGGGTTTCATCCAAAAACTTTGAAGTGATATTGTATCAGCAGGGTCCAATGAATACAGAGGTTATCAACAAAATCTAACTTTTTTTTTTTTTTTTTTTTGTAATTAGATATTCAACATACTCTGATTTTATTAGGTACTCACGACATATGCTCTCACTTTGATTCAATTTCCCACCTTTTAATGTTTGGCAGAGCAACAGGAGAAAGCACAATAACATAATGGATGACAGTTATGCATCCTTCTGATGGACAGCTAGTGAATTCCTAAATTAAAGTTGAACTAGTTAGTCAAGATCTTTGTTTTCTCCCTGCTCTCATCTAAAACTAAATTGTTTCCTCTTTCCTCCAGCATTTCTTTCCTGTTCAAAATTCATTCATTCCTTTCCTACCACTTAAACTCTGTAGCCCAGCGGGAAAAGACCAACTCAGCCTCTGATTTCAGGTTGCAGTTCAAGCCAGAAATAGATGTCCTTATAGAGAAAGTAAAGAACTCCAGAGCTCATTGAGAGAATGTTCTTGAACCCCACTATAAAAAAACCCACAACAACCATAAAGGAAAAAAAAATTTAAAAAACAGGTGATAGAACCCAAGGCATTTATACAAACTTCCATGTGAAAGTGCAGAATACTCATAGACTGAGCTGAGGGCTTGAACAAGTCAACATTATTTAGTGATTCAAATTACATGCATGTTCTTCATTCTTTATTAGAAAAAAAATTCTATAAGCATCTTCTAATGCTTTCTCATTTAGTACCTTCCAGAAAAAAAGACAGAAACAACTGCAGGTTTCAGTTTCAGTTACCCAGATAGAAAATTTAGCAATGTTCTAGCTATCCTTAACAGTGAAAGAACAGCAAATACACCTTTGCCCATTTATTTCTCTCTACAAATCCATTTAATTTCTTGTCTTTCCACGAGACCTGTTGTACAGGACAACCGAAGCCTCAGAGTTCTGCCTCCATATAAAGTAGGAAGTAGTGAACGTAAAAAGATTTCCAGAAAGCTGTAAAAGCAGGCCTTAGAAACAGAAAGAGCAGAAAACTTAGAACAGCTGCAGCTGCAAAGTCTGAAAGTAGAAAAAGTTACAATAGTACAGCTAGTAAGGACATGAAACAATAGCTTGAGTTTTAGGTTTGGCTAAGATAGACCTTAAGACTGCAGAAAATATCCTTGGGAAGATAGCAGAAGGTTTTAAGCTCAATAATGAAGTATTGTGTATTGTTAATAGAGAGCAAACAAGCAAGCATTGTGTGAAGCAGGTGTACATGTACTTTTAGTAATTGGCTAGAACAATTGTCTGAAAACTTCAGCAATACTCTATTGGCTAAAAAGTGTTTTAAATGCTCTGTAACAAAGAAATCTTTGGCTGCTGCTGGCAGGACATGAGCTGTTGCCACCTTTCTATTGTCTCAACCATGAAATGAGGCTGATGTTGCAATAAAGCTCAAGGAACATAACCCAGCAGTCCCGTCCTGTTCATGGAAAACCGCCAATACAATATTTGACGCTTGATTTAAAAGAGCGAATCTCTCAGTGAAATTTGGCAAGTCCTCCAAGCAAAGGTTGTGAAGAAAACCTAGAAAGTGTGGCTTTGCCTTGACATACTCAACCCTAAGTCAAAGGAACCTTAAGAATATCCCACTTTCTGTGTAGAACACTAAAACTGGAAGTATAACAATATCTAAGTCTAGTGAAAAACAGCCATTGTTCATATTTGTGCCAAATCTTCCAGTGAGGGCCTGAAGAGGCTGTAAAGTCAGGAGAAACAGAGGATTACTTTGTAACTGCCAATTATGAGAAGTAGGACGTCAAATGTGTCAGGATTTCAAACATTCTGTCATCTTTGCAACATTCCACTCAAAGTTACATTAGTTTTGGTCCCTAACAGGAGCAGGTCATCACTACTAATGATACAAACCACTTCAAATTTAAACTAGCAGTGCACTGAGCCTGCGTTACAGCAGTAACACCACGGAAACTCTGGCTATGCCTAAGGTTCTCAGTCAGGTTCTAACTCTGGCTATGCCTAAGGTTCTACGTCAGCCAGGGACAAATGAGGAACCCTGCACCTACTGCAGCCCAGTCAGCAGTACACAGAAATGCTGGAAAGGTAGAATGCTTTGTCTTCTGGCTGCTGCCTTCTCTTGCTTTGAACAGCCATGTCTTTTCAGTGCTCCGGGCAGCCTAAATCTTACTGACAACCCTCCTTCAATTTGGCAGGCTTTGTAAACGTGTGTTTCAGCCCTATTGCAAGGGTGTAAATCTTAGGAACACTGCTAAGTCCAGTGTTTACATTTGAGAGTGTTCTGCTGAGTTCTGGCCTACAAGAGCCATGGCATGTGGTCTTACTGACTGCAATGATTATCTCAGGGGAGAAGGTTCTTACTGCCTACAGAAAATTCCTCGTAGTAAAGCAGGATTTGATGGAATCTGTAATATTTAAATGATTCCAAGATTGTAGAAAGTATCTGTTTTTCTGCCCTGCTGCCAAAGAAGAAATCGTAATTTGTCTGTGCTGGTTTTCAAGGTTGTTTATTCTGTTTATCTCTAACATGTTCTGCTGCCCTGCCACAGGTCTGTCCTGCAGGGCAGCGTGTGGGGCTCTGCCCTCAGTGGGATGTTACAAACATTAAATACCACAAACTACCTGTGCTGTATTTACAATAACGTGCCAATAACTGTCACCTATGTTGAACAGTGTGTCCCCAGCCTAAACCAATAGAAAAATGCCAAACCATTTCTTCTGCTTCCATGTCTTCCATGGAAGACATGGAAGAAGAAGAAAAAGGACAGGGCACCAAATTTCCTCCATCTTGTCCCATTTGGACCCCTTATCTAGAATCCTAAAATTCTACTTTTGTAGGTGTGCCACACTAATTATTACTTATATCAAACACTCAGAGCTTGTAATTCATCCTGTAAGATTGAAAACTCTTTTCCATGGACAGAGATCAGAGACAGTGTCTCTCGGGGCTCTGTCCAGGGGGTTCCTGACCCCCTGCCAAGGTCCCAAACCTTCCAGGGCAGCCAGAGGAATGCCCTGGATTCCCACAAGGATTGATTTCACCTTTTAAAATAGTAGCACAGCAATTTAACGAGACACAATTATTTTCAAATAGTCAAGTAGTTCCAGTAAAGGAAAAATAGCAAAAATTAGTCCTTCTTGTAGTACTGTGCTGAGAAAAAGCCTGTTTATCTCCAAATACAGGAAAGATTAAAAAAAATGCCTCTGCAGTATTAATCTTTTAAAATCACTATTTTTTTAAAAGATTAAGCTTTGGCCACTGGACTCTCTTTGTTTTCAGATCTTCTTCTATTGCTAAGCTGCAAGGCTGTACAAGTAGACTTCTACTTCAATTAAAAGTACAGCATTAATAAATCAGCTTCTGCTCACTCCTCAAAATATTGATTGTCCCTGCTCTACAGGGCACAGCATGTATTTAATACAAATGTCAGCAGTCTTTAAAAACCACTTTATCTACATTGAGAAATAATGTCGAGGTTGTATACAATATTAGTATTTATGTCTATAAACTCACAGAAACACACACATATTATTAGTGCCTTTGGCTCACTTGCAATGGTGGAATGATTCTAGCTCATTATAAAGACCACTACAATACCTTAGAGGTTAAGTTCTGTGTCTCATCCATAGAAGGTTGGATGGATCATAACAGCACATCTCCCTTTTTCAAGGTCAGTTACAGGCCTTAATCACCAACATCTCAGGAATACAGTACATACAGTATCTACTGTACTTCTAGCCTGAAACTGCATTTTAAGGAGTGAGCAATTTTCTCAGCTGTAATGGAATGTCATTACATCATGCCACTCCTTAGATGCCAACAAGAAACA